GGGGTGGGGGGGGAAGACTCCTTACTTGCCATGCGGCTTTCCCCACTGCCACTCGCCTTCATAGGATGCACTCTTGAACTTGCTCTCCAGCCTGAAGACATAGGTGAAGAAGCGGCAGGACGGGGGCTCGGTGCCTTCACCAGTCTTGCCCCACAATGGGAAATCTCGTTTCCCGTTCAGTGCCTGGCGGACAGCCTGGTTCAGCTTCCACTGCCAAACAGCCTGGGGGCAGAGGAAGAGGAGGAGTGTTGGACTAAAGAGCAAAGAAAGCAAAATAGCTCAAGAGATACTTCAGAAGAAGCAGCAAGAAGCTGTTGGTTTCCCACCAATTCTGTGCCATTCAGCTGGCCAGGTTGGTGAGTTATGGCCCATGTAGAGCATCAACAGGAGGGGTTATCTTGGGTCCTGCATCAATGCACAACAATGCTTCCATGTCATTTAAGGCTGACTCTCACCACCACTAATTGGCCTTGGCACAGGACCATGCTGATGGAACTGTACTGTCCCAAGCTCTGCAGCACACACTACTGCCCAGGGCAGACTACTTCCACCACCCAGGTATTTTTCATCTACCATCAATTGTCTAAGCCACCTCTGGCCATCTAATACAGTATTGGCTCCACAGAGAGGGGTGGGGAACAACCCAACAAACCCCACACTTCTTATTATACTGCTTCAAATAAAAAAGTGGCAAAAACCACAGAGAAAAGGCCTCAGCTGCATTTAAGCAGATGCAGAACACACTAATCTGTCTTCTGATCAGGAAGCTAATATCCTGATGCTTAGTGGGATTTCAGCTTCCACTCAGTAGTCAATGTTTTGCCTCCACTACAGAGCTGCCATCCCCCCCATGCCATTGCCCTATTTCAAAGCTTGGTGCACAGTATTTCAGGTGGAACAGAAACAGCCTGCCCAGGGCTAACCTTCATCTGCGGGTCTTTGGCAGAGAGAACGAACGTTTCTTCCGGGGTTATAATGCGGAGCCCGTACCTGTGAAACAAAAGACGTTATAGAGACTATGAAAAACACATTTCTCAGTCAAACAGCAGTTCCTGCTCTTCCCATTCCTCTTCAGTAGCTAATGGTGCTTTTGCAGTCAGGTTTTCCTTCTCAAGAGGTACTCAATTAGTCAACTCATCTTTGTTCTCCAGGTCTGGAGCCAAAACCATTTTATTGATTTCAGTATGTCAGCAAAGGCAAGCAACGCAAGTCCAAGCTGCTGTGATCCTATCTGAGAAGTGCTGCAATTACGTGTAGCCCAGAGCCAATCCCACTGGGTGGAAAGGAGACGGGACAAAGTTTTTAGAGTTTTGAATCGTTTTCTCGGTTTCACAATCAAGTCAAGCACTTTTTTTTTTTTTCTTTTTTTTTAACCTCCAAGTGGAAATTTTTCACTTACTGTCCTGGAGCTGATTTCTCCCTGCAGTTTTCATCTACCCACACAAGCTTCAGATCAAAACTCTGAAAGCTGTTTCCCTGAAACAAAACGGAGAAGATGTTCCTGTTATTGATGTAAACATCACACTTTGCCCCCACTCTGTCAATCCATTGAACAGCAGAGCAAGACTGGCAACACTGTAAATTCCCTCTTTCGTGGTCCACACATCTATCCCACACTATGACGACAGACCTCAGAGACTGAAGAAACGTAGGAGAAGGAAGAAAGTTCTTAGTTTAACACATATAAGTGGTGTTCCATAATGCCATAGCTACAACTAACAGTAACAGACCATCTTAGACGGCACTTATCTCTACAAGAGTTTCTTCCCTATCACGTGACAACACTTCCAAATCATCCCTGGCACCCAGTATGCCCTCATTTTGCCTATGATCCTTCTAGTACTGAGACTTCAGATGGCACAACCAATAGTGGCCCACAAGTACAACATGTAAGGAGTGACTATTTTGATCAATAGCACACCAAACAGAAGAAACTAAAATGGTTGCAATACTAGATAAAGAGTGCATTTGATATTACATCTCCCTTCCCTGACTAGAGCTGCTATCTGTAAGGATGTAGTTGGCCAAGGTTAGGTACTAGCACTATGGAGTTCACTACAAGTTAATCACTGATGTATCTACCAGATTTGAGGGAACGGGGAAGGGAGGGAGGTTCAGATTCCTCATCAGCAGACCCCTGCTAGCAGGCCAAGCTAACCAGTTCAATCCCAGTCCAGTTATATCTCCCCAAGCCTCAGTAACAGTCATCGCAGCAGATGAGACACAGTGGGTGGGAACCGTTGACTGAACAGAGATATCTACAACGTAGATATCTCTGCATGAGCTAGTTACCCTGTGCTCTCATCCTAGTCAATGGAGTCAAGGACATGATTCAACTCATCCTAATTTTGGCATCTAAAATAGATCAGATGAACCACACCCAGACAGCGCATGTTTCTCTTCCCTGACTATAAAGGCAGCCTGGAGGCACTTGCTCACAGAGAGATCACTACAGTGCTAAGAAATCCACAATGTAGAGTCAGATGAGATAATCACCACCCTGTTTCCTCAGGCCTAGACCCTGCAAGCTGTGTAGGACTGCCCAGTGTTATCATAAAGGCTCATGTTTGGAAGAGCCCGTAAGGTCTATCAGCTCACAAGGCAGTCATGTGTTGGGACACCTGAGGGGCTGGCACATGGCTAAAGAGCAAAGGGAGGTGCGCACAAAGAGAGCCGTGCTAGATTACAGGAGCTGTCAGTCAGAGCAAGCCAAGCTGTACTTAGTTAACATGCTGCAGAACAGCTTTGAACACGTATTATTCATCTAGCTATCCATGGCTGTAGACACTCCCTGTCTGCCCCACACCCAGGCCCTAAATCCCTGAAATAGCCCCAAGAACACCTGCAACTTCTGCTCCCATGCCATGAGCGTAGTCAACCATGAAAGATCATATTTAATCCTATGCATGAGTCTTTATAGTATAAAATCTTTGACGCATCAGGCTCCCTTTGAATAAGCAAGGACAGAAATCAACAGATGTAGGCATGGGCTTGGTTTACTAGAAAGGTGCCTGTGGTGGTTGGATAGTACATAGCTACTAGGGAAAAAGTTACGTGGACGCTCCTCTATTCCCTCTTCATTAGGCTTTCTTTTATTCTCCAGTGTAAGCCACAGGTGCATGGATCTGAGACCAGGTTTTGCCAAATGCCAAGCTCTGCTGCATTTTCAATATCAAAGGAACCTGAATTTTACTCTTGTTTATCTACGCTACGCTTCCAATCCCTCTGAAAAATCAAAGGCTCACCTGAATTAGCACAAGGACATCATCGAAGAGCAAGATCCGGTCTGATCGATTCGTGCTGGCAGAGATGGGAAGATTTTTGCTGTCTTCCAGCAACCTCCTTTCAGGTACACAGAGCATGTCCTGCAGAGGGAACCACAGAGGTCAAGATGGAGGACCAAAAGCATGAGGAAACATCAGGATTTGGGAGAAGACATACAACTCAAGCCAACAGTTCCTGCGGAGGCCATCTGACCTGTGGCAGAGGCCGCCAGTGACAGAACTGGAGACAGCTTCTAAAGCACCCAGTGACCATAAGGTTTCTCCAAGGCTTTAACTCTGCCTTGCTCTGTTGGCTTCAAACCAAGGCTCAAATGCTTGATCTGCATTAAATTTCCTCCATGTGTAAGCAGAGGTGTAAAATCTCCAAAATAACTCCCCATCAAGCCACTTTCTAAATCTGTGACTTACCGTGAATTTGCAGCCCAAGGATTTCCATAAGGACTTGGTAAAACAAGCTTCATCCAGGACTTGGCTGATGAAAGCCTCAAGCTTCACATATTCCTTGATGGCACTGGTAAACGTGTCCTTTTCAGAGTCCTGATAAAAGAAGGCAGGGCTTGAGCAACACTTCAGGCATGGCTGTGCAGGACATCTACTTTCTGGGCTACAGGTGCAAAAAAACCTCAACACTTCTGAATCCAAAGGGCTAATGAGAGGTAACCCTCCAACCCCATTTTCAAGGAAAGTGTCCCAAACCTAGCATTATCTCTGCCACCAGCAGAAGTGTGCAACCTTAGGCCAGTTACTTGACCCTTTGCAGCTTCTCTATACGATCAGTGCTATGCTGGAGTGGCCACTGTTCGTTGCTTTGAGACCTTCAGGTGGGCTGCACTCCACTGGTGCTGGTTACTACCACCCCAGTTGTCCACTGGAAATCATTTTCCTTCCAGACAACTCTGGATTCACTCATACTATCACAAAACCCCACCACCATTGCATAAGATGTTAGCATAAGCCAGTCAAATAACACCACATAAAGCTTCCTACCTCTTTGAGGGCCTCATTCAGCTTGGTAAGGAGCAGTGTATATTGCTCAACATGATCTCGGATAGGTTTGTGAAGAACAGTGTATAAGGCCAGTGACATGGAGGTCTCAGAGGTGAAGTCTGTGAGAAATTGTTTCAGCACTGTCTTATGGTGCTTCCAGGCTTCACTGCAAGACGGTGAATTAAGACAAAGGTTCATTAATTAGTTTTTCTGCAAACCACCACTCTTCTGCCTTCCAAACTTTATATGCCACCTCACTCCCAGAGAGGGTATAGAAAGACTTGAAAAAGCAGGAGATAACATAATGCAAATATATTTGCCTTATTTCTGTGTGTTTGGTGTGCAATGAGGCAAACAAGAGCTCTACCCATCCTGCCTCTGACCCAGAGGTCTTTGCAAGCCATACCCACAGATAGACAGAATGCAGCATGACCTTCATGATGGTTTGCACACCAAGAGGGTGACTCAGATAAAGTGGCTGTGAATCTGCTCATATCTCGTGCTCATGTCTTCGTTATTTCCATGAGACTCTGACCGAGCAGTGGAAATTTCCTGCCAGATTCCCACACCACCCTTTCTCAGGTCCCACCCTTACCTCAACCTCCAAATTCCAAATTTTACAGGCTTCCTTGTCTACAAAAGGAGCTGTGCATGGCTAAAAAGAGATGGAGAGAGATCTATAGAGGAAACTTGTCAGCAGCTGCTGCTGTGGTCTCAGAAGATGGCAGGAGCAGCCACTATGGATGGTTCAGAGGAGGGGAAATGGAGATCACTGCAAGGTGCAGTGCTCAGTGCTGCTCACCCCCGTTCAGTGTCTCAACCCACACAATATCATTGTGTTCCCATCAGCCCCTTCAATAAGCATTTTTGAGCCCACTGACCTTTTGCTCTTTGTGGCATGTTCGAAGCCATAGACTACAACGTAGTTTGCAAAAGTGACAAAATATCTGTTGGCAAGAAAATAAACACACAAAAGCACGAACTGAGTTAGAGGTGAACATTACCTACAGGGTTTAAGCGATAGAGGGAAGAAGCAGCTCATTTGAAAATGTCACGTCCACCTTCCCAAAGGAGGCAGAGAGAGATGTAGGTACCGTACTTCTCACCTTGGCTCACTCCCCTGTTGTCCCCTTTGCCAGCTCCTCGGTTTAACTGCCTTGTTGATGTTTGCACTAGTATCGTTACAGGAAGCTTAAATAATCCTGGCATTTAGCATAAGCAGAAGTAAACTTGCGCAACTGTCCTGGAAAGCAAATCTACAAAGGCTGAACTTAAGATTTCAGCTTCAGATATATGAATTTCTGCTGGTTGAAGTGAAAGTATGCATTACTGATGGTAAATTCAAGGTGTCCTGTGTCAATGTATCTCATCTCACACTAGAGGGAGATCGAGCCATATTTTGTCAGCAAATACCACGCTGCCTTCCAGTAGTGATTTCAGGTAAGTCAGTCGTGTATTCTGTCCAGACTAATTAACATTTATTACGCTTTCAGAGTCATGTATTTACTGCTTATTTTCAGGCCCCTGAACAGGGGCTTTGCTTCCTCCCGTATCACTCCAGTAAGCATGAGACATGGTAGGATCAGGACTGCACAGAGTGAGTCAGCAGAGGTGGGTAGGAAGCAACTCTCATGACGCCCAACAAAAACAGGTTTTAATTTCAAAATGAGGGGAAATGAGATCTTAAGATAAACTTCTCCTTTGTGTTTTCTGAAACCTCAGCACAAGTTTTCATCTTTTATATGCCTTTTTAAGGCAAACCTATTTTAATCCCCTGAATCAGTTCCTGAATGAACAACACACACTGCTCCAAACTCCATTCACATAAAGGCGAAGTTTGTTGTACATCGCTTTCTAAAATTATGCTGTCCAAGTAAGAACAAACCAAAAAGTATCCCATCCTTCCTCTTTCCTCTACACGCATAAAAAACACCAAACCCAAGACCAGATGAACAGCCGTGTCCAGGAGCCAGCGTGCCCATCTCCCGTTCCTGCGTGGGTGCCAAACTGCACAGATGGTACAAGCCCATCTGGCAAAGGCTTGGCCACATTGATGGTCAACGTGATGAATGGAGGATTGAACACTGTCTGATCTTTATGTCATCTCAGATGTCCATAAACCATTTTTGATGGCAGGACATCAACACACAGGTTACACGCACTACAGTGCCTTCGGTAAACATTTTATTTTGCGTAGCAGACAGATGGGGAGCAGATATAACTAATTATAGAAATAGTAATGGGGCAGTATGTTTTTCACATCATGCTACATCCATCACTTGCTATCATAACCCTTGCCAAAATCATAAAAATGTGGCATAAACATGTAATATGAACTGTTTGTAGTGACATCTTCTCTACTCATCCCTTTGAGTCCTTTAAACCTGCTTGTGCACGCCTTTCTGTTCCTGATGACAGCTCAAGCTTCGCTCTTATAAATTTCCTAGTTACAAGTTCTACCCCATCCTCGTCCCATTTTTTAAGATGCATTAAAGAACCCTATATTTGCAAGAAAAAATTCTGCCTCTTACAAGCATACTTACAGCTACAAAAAAGGCTACTTACTATGCTGTCTGCACAGACACTATATTGTGTGACACTCGTCGTGAGCACTGAATGCAATCACTTCCCTGACCTAATGAATGAACACTAGTGGACAGGACTGAACAAATTAAATGCACAAATTAATTGCACCAACCTACCAGTTAGTTGATAAATTTGTTCCCTTATGCTATTCCAAAATACTTCTGTACTTACTGGACGTAGAGGCTTAGAAACAGGTCTCCTTTCCAGACAGTGTAAATGTCCTGGACGCAGAATGATTCGGAGGTGCTATGTTTTTGTTTCAGTATCCGGTAATTTTCTTCTGTGAGGTTCCAGAGAGCTTGAAATCGATCATTCAGGAGGAGGAAGAGCTTAAAGTTCTCCTTTCCCTTCTGGTCACTAGGCTCTTTGAGGAAACGATGAGGGGAAAAGTCTATCAGAAAGCCTTGACTCCAAGAAATCTTGCAGAAAACATTGCCTATATTTAATACTCAGCCCAATTTTTCAGTGTAAAGCACATATATTCATACAGGAAAACAATGCCAGGGAGGCAGGGAAGATTATGATTATTTAGGTTTGTGTCCCCGTGAGTAATTGCACAGGCTTTCCATGCTAAAGGCTTCGTCCTTCCCATTCTGGTGGGGCATGTGGTCAGGGCAGCCTGCGAGGCTCAGCCCCAGCTCAGACATGAGCACCAGAGGAAACCTTTCTACCCCTGGCTGGAAGGGCTGTTCCAGGTCTCCTTGAACGCTAGACCAAGAAGGTGGTGACATGAGAAGGAACCACCCTACGGGTCTAATCCAGTCGCACCACTTTTGGCCAGACAGACTTGTGAATATTTATATGGATTTGTTGTTTCAGCAGAGCTGCTCTGATTTACTGCCAGCTCAGAACCTGCACCCACAAGTTTTACCTTCAAAGACGGGCATGACCACGGACCGAGAGCAGGGAGGCAGAACAGGCATGATTTAGGGGTCACATATACACGAGGTATATTTTGGATTTCCACGTGCCATGCTGGAAACAAGCCTCGGAGCAGCTGTACAGACTGATACTGGTTACAGTTCGTATTAACCTCTAAAAAACCCAGAAACCACAGTCCTGGGCTTGAATGAGAGGCCATAGCCTTCCTTAAGAGCTCACTATCTGAAATGAAACATCTCTATATACCACTTAGAGCAGCAAACCAGCCTCCAGCAAGTCCCCAGCCACAGAGTTCCAATTGTAAATCCCTTCACAGGTGCACCAGTGACTCAAGGCTAGAACTACAGACAAAAAGGTGTCTTCTCTGACCTACCTGCCTGGAGCAAAGGCTTGAGGATGAGGGCATCTATCCGTGCCAGGCATGCCAAGAAGGTTTCTTCCACCTGGAGCAGAGATGCAGTTGCTTCAGCCGTGCACATGTCCTGGACACAACAAAGAAGGCACACATGAACTCCCTTGCAAGAGTATCCATCTACCAAGGCTTCAATGCTCATTGCAAACAACCAGCCTTTCCTGCTCTTGACAGCACACGCGGGTGTAATTGCTGTCCCCCAAAAAACATCTGAAAAGTGTTAGAAGTAGAAACGGAACCCTGATAGCTCAACATGAGCTGCTGTCACAGAAGACCACCAAGTCTACAGCCCATTTTCCTGATGCCCCAAATTGCAGATCTTCTCAGGTGGGCCACAATACCTCTTCCACATGACTGGAAAGGCCCTAAACTTCTTGATATGCGTTAATCCTGCTTAGCGCCAGATTTGTTCTCCCAGAAGAAAACCCCTTAAGTACAAGGCAGCAAAACATGAAGCATCTCTTCCCGAATCTCTCACCAGTTTTCTGCCCGGGTGCCTCAGTCTGCACTTTTTGGCTTTAAGAGCTATTGTACAGAGCTGCAGAGCCACACCAGCCATGCCCAAACATCCAACCCTTCAGAGGAACAGAGGTCTGCTGTTACTCCTTTCCGAGGAAGACGCTGCACTGCTGTTTATATGTCACAACTGCTACGTCAACAAGGAAAGCTTGCCTAAAGTGGAAGTGGGCTGCACGTTATGAAGACAAAAAAAAAAAAAAAAAAGGCAGCAAACCCATGTGAGCAAACTCCGGTAGCTTCCTCCTTCCCAGCCTTACCTCCCAAAAGAAATGTATCAGAGGAAGTGACCGCTAACAACATATCATAAGAGACTACTCTGGAAAAAGGCTAGGTGGTAAAGGTACTATGGGCAGAATTGGCTGATATTACTAATGGTGATAAAAATACAAAACTCTGAGATTCTTTTAACTTTGTGAAGCAAAAAAGCAAACTCAAGGAACTCAATATGGCCTGTCCGCGTTTATCCTTGATTGTACTGCACGCTCAAAGGCTACGCTCACAATAATAAGCAAACGAGGATATGGCATTATGCTGCAAAGATTTCCATTGCTAAACTGGTGGCAGAGACTTTAGCACAGTTTTGATGTGTTCCAACTAGAACCTCTTCCAGATAATTCTCACCTATGGTCCAGAGACCATTTGACAGGGGTAGCTTGCCCGTAGTCATGCTGGTTTGGGAGATAAATAGAAATTACCTATGTATAGGCTATGCAATAATCACTTGGCTATGGGGCTAGATCGAATTTATTTACTAATGGAGATGTTAACTAGTGTCTTTGCACCATTTCCAGGAAGAGCTGAACTCGGGCTATCTGCTGGTGGCCTACTCCAAGACATCCTGAACCTCTGCCCTGATTGCTACAAACCGTAGGTGAGATATTGATTCTCCTTGTGTTGAGATTTTGGGAAGTCGGGCACAGAAGCCTAACCCTACTTTATACTTCATGGGAAAAAATGCCTCAAGCATCTCAGCATGGACTATAAAAAGGTCACTCGGGTGGGGTGATTAAGTTAGGTGGGAACATCTCATTTTTAAGTTTCACATGTGGGTGGATTCTTTGCTAAATAAGAGTTTAAGCTCCCTAAAGTCACCAAACTCTGCTTAGGAACTCCCTTTCCAGGTCATCCTGGAGCTTGGGCTGAAATGGTGCCATAGAAGAAGGGACGCTTTGCAGTTTGAACGGTTAGCTGGCCTGGTTTTGAGTAGTTGTTCGGATCCAGACACAACTGACTGCACAGATGAATGACAATGTTTTCTCCTTAGTAACCACTGCCTCTTAAATTTAATTTGTCTGAAAAATGGGAAACATTAAAAAATTCCATAATCTCATTAGCTTGCGAGTTTTCATACATCAAGGTCTGCATGACCATAAGGTTATTTTTTGCAGGAACATTGGCGGCTCGTCCCAAAGGAAAGCTCTAGGCATGCAAACAGGTCAAAAAGCTGGAATTCAAACTCCTAGCCCCTCCCAGGGAAGGAAACCGAGCCAGGAAAAAAGCAAAACAAAACAGCAGCCAGACAGCTCTCACCCCCCGAGCACCAAGAGGACAGGACAGATCTAAAAGTTTATTTTTTGCCACCGCTTAATCCCCTGTCTTGTCTTGTAGACACAAAGATAAAGCTCCTTTCTCACAGGTCCTAGCGAGCACTCCAGCTTGTCAGAAATTTCTAAACAGAAGTAGCTTGCTTAATCAGGGAGTAAAATCAGGCTGGATATGTGACAGCATTTAATTTTCAAATGCTTCAACAGAACAGCAGGTAGTCAGTGGGGTCATTATTAGCTTCATTAACAGCCTGGTGGGTTTTCTGGGATTTTTTTGTGGGCTTTCTTATTCATTTGTTTTATTTGTTTAATCCTGACTATATCGTCTATTTTTGGAGAAGAAGGGAAGACAATTCCATCATTTCAGATTGTTCTGCTATGAGAGGGGTTTGTTCTACACCTGGTCCTTATTTAATTCTGCAAGAAAATGTTTTACCCTGTGCAAGACAAAAAGAATGGGTGCTAGATGCCAAACTCAGAAAGTCTTCCCCAAACTCAATTCTTATCAAAACAACCAGAGAAGCCACTCATTCATTACATACAGATGGCTTAATGTAAGCCGAGCGACTCAAACCCAGGGTGCAGATACCAACAGCTTTGCTCCACAGGACCATAACAGCTCACGAGTAGAGGCAGAAGGCTGAGGAACCTCCTGAGGGCTGAAGAGCACATGTGAACACCATGAGAACATCACTGCCCCAGCCTAAGTGTTATTTGCTTACTTCTGTAACGGTCACCTGGAAGAAGAACTATGTAAGTCCCAGGTGGACCTACTGATCTGGATGTGGGGCTGCCCCTTCCAACCATGAGCTGGTCCCACACTCTGCCTCCTGCTCATCTGCAATCCTCGTTTGTTGAGGGTCCTTTAGCCATGAAGACCTGAGCTCAAGCTTTACGGGGATGACCCCAAGGCATTCCCATGGTGCAGTACATGGGTTGAGAAACCCTTGCAGTAGTGACACTGTACAGACACCCAAGCTGACTCTGCAAAACTCGGAAGGATTTGGGTAGTCTTTTCCATTATAACCTGGTACAGGGTTAACACAGCATTTGGGTTTGGCTTTTTTTTTTTTTTTTTTCCTTTTTAGCAATTGTATTCTCACCCGTCCTGGGAAAATTTGTGGGCTATCTCCAGCCTGAACACAACAGTCAGGGTTCATTTGCTGAATGGACAAGCAGCACCAGCCAGCTTTCAAAACAGCCCTTCCAGCACCACAAAAAAGACCTCAGATGCCGCATCACATCACATCACAGCCAGTAAGTAAGCGTGAGTTTCCGCCACCATTTCCAGGCTTTGCCCATCAATTCTGAGATAACAGCATTTGCACACTTATTCCAGCCCAGTCAGGCGAAGAAGATTTGAAGTTCATCACCTAGTGAACAAAACCAACGCTGGCTCAGCCACAGAGAGCAAAGGAAACAATCGGGACTGTCCAAGGGCATGCAAAGGTTATGTTGTGCATTCACACTTGTGAAAACCTGAATGCAAACTGCAGTGCCGCTGGGTGATGGGGGCACTGAGAAGAAACCTGGACCTGTCACATGTCATCTTCCCCCACTTGGACACAGCTTTTGCATGATTCTGGACGTTTTGCAATTCTGTGTTTGCTCCATCAAGGGCAGGACAAGCTTGAGCAGAGTCACTGAAGCCTGTTCACGTGGTTTTAGTCTGCTCTTCATTGATGGCTCTGCTACTAAGGAGTCAAGACTTTTGAAGATGGTGCACTCCTGATGGCCAGAATTGAAGAAGTGCACCCCAAGGAAGGGTCCACTAGCTGCACATAGCATGACAGCACCTGGTTTTGTACGCAAAATCAGAAAATCTACAGCCTTTGAGGACAGAGGCTTCCACTGGCAAAACAAAATAGCCACCAGCCTGCTTCAGGCTCCCATGAGGAATGACGATGTCTCCCTAGGAGAACATTTTCCAAAGCATGAAACACATCTGTTTCTTCTCCCTAAATGAAGCTACAAGCAAGCTGTACAGCACAGGTCTGTAATTAGAGAAGGGACACATAATACTATTCATGTAGAAACAGGAAAAAGACCTTGAGAAACAACTTCTGTAGGAGTCACCGGGTCTCTGTGGTTCATCACGGTCTTGGCCTGTCCGCTAAGCATGACAATGGGGGCAGAAAGAAGGGTGATGCAGCAGCTAATACCAGCCTAAGCAGCTGCTGAGCATCCAATAGATGGGAGCAGCCCGAGTCATCTCGAGGAACATTCATCCTCAATAGGGTCTGTCCAAAGCTGCTGAATGCACAGTTTGGCAAGAAAATACACGTCTTGAGGAGCCACGACAGGTTGTTACACCCATTTTCAGGAAATTGCCAGAAGGGTAGGTAGAACAGATAGGAAACCAAGCAAAGAGGCATTTTGGGGAAACGCTGGGCCACACTCTCAGCTTCACATAGAACCCCTTTCTACTTCAGAGTATGTAGCTCTGAGGCAGCTCTTCCACCAGGAAAGTGTCTGGAAAGCCCCATAGATTTCATATGTGACACAAATTTTCTCATGGAAACACACATTTAGTCAAACAATCTTATCAGCCTCTGTACATTAAGGAACAAACTGCACATCCACAGAAGGATTATTTGTTTTCCATCTTCCTCTTGTGAATCCCCCTCTGTGCTGAAATTAAGATCATCAGTCAACAAAAACACTCCTCAGATGGAAGAAACCAGATTTTGGAATTGCTTAGGGCATTTTAATACTAAATCACCTGGATGTAAATGCCACGGCCATGTTTGTTGTAGCCCCTCCTCTCCTTCAAGTCTTCCCCTTCCCTGCATCAGCCATCCTAAAGGGCATCGTGACTTTGCAGACCTTGCGATCTCATCCATCCCTGCAGTTCATGATCTTTCTACTACCAACTGCCTCAGAAATGAGTCCAGTCCATCACTCTGACACATGCAGTCCTCAAACAGGCCAAGTTTTCCCTTCCCTGCCCTTTGAGAGGCAGGTGAGTTATTGCTGCCATGCACCTGAAGAGGTCCCTTCCTAC